AGCAGGCGCTGCGTCTCCTTCTTGCGCTCCAGCTGCTCCAGGCGCCGCTTCTCCTTCTCCTCCTGGGGGGAGTCAGGCGGCTGGGACAGCGCCACACCCCTCGCACCCCACGGCGTCAGGCCCTGCGGGCCACAGGGCAACACCCGGGGAACCCTGGCCCCTGGTGTGGCTGGAGGGGCAGGGAGGGGTGTGGGCGCCCCAGACACGTGGAGGGGTCAGCTTCCGACCCAAGCACTGGGAAGTCCGGGTGCGCACGGTCCCACTGTCCCCCGCCCAGCATCACCGAGGCTGTGGGCCCCACGAGACCCCCAGGGAAGCCCTGCTGCCGGCCAGAGGAGGGGACAACAGGCCTCTGGGACCCGTCCTCAGCTACCCCGGCCATCTATGGGATGGGGCGGGCGATTCTGGGTCGGCACAGCTCGGCTGCACCCGCGGCGCTCCCCTGCCCGGGACTCTGCTGTCTGTCCCCACACCTGTGGTCCCCGACCTGGAGGAACTGTGTCCTGGAAGAAGGCCCCCATGCCTGGCTCCCGAGGGCGGAAGGGGAGGTGTCAGTGCTGTTTGCAGGCTCCTCAGACAGAGCCCCTGGTCTCTGTCAGAGACAACACCCTCCTGAGGCTCCAGACCCACGTATGACCGTTCGCCTAGCACAGCACTTACCATTGACACCACCTTGCCCCAGGGCCTTTGCACCGCTGTTCTCAGCCTGGAGAGCCCTTGCGTGCCCCCTTCCCTGCCCCACAGCATTCTTGCACCCGGCTTTGCCCAGGTCTCTCATGAGCCCCCTTGTCCCAGGGGCAGGGGCTGGGCAGAGGCGGGCTGGGCGCACAGCAAGGCTCTGACTGCGGGAGAAGCTGCGTCCCCTGGGCCTGTCCTCTCCTGGCCCCCATGGACGCTGGGCAGATGTTTCCAAAGTTCCTGTGCTGGGAACTTGCCCCCAGGAGACCTGCTGTGGCCCGGGTAACAGGTTCTGGGGGTGTGGCCAGCGGTGGCATCAGCGACATTACAGTGGCCCGAGCTAGCGCCCGAGAGGCCCTGGCATCATACAGCACGAACGGGGGCTGCCACCTCCATGTTGGACTTGGCAACTCTACAGACACAGCAAAGTTAGGCTCACTGCTTGATTTCGTGGTGCTGGGGATGGGCACCGGGCACCGGGCATGCTGGGCAAGGGGTCTAACACCAAACCGTACCCACAGGATCCTGGAAAGCTGCCCGGCCTGGGCTCCGTCTTGTGATCCTCCTGCCTCAGCCTCCCCAGTTGCTGGGCTCACAGGTGGGCACGCCATGCCTCACTTAAACCTGCACCCTAAATTACCAGCCTGTGTTATTTAGTTACAGCACCAGAAAATGGACACAGACACTGCCCTTCCCTGCGACGCGAGCCTGGGAGGACAGGGACCTGTCCTGCTGTGTGGCCTTGTGTTCCAGCCCTCCAGGTGCCCAGCATGAGACATAAAAGTGTGTGAAAGGAACGGATGGGTTCCCAGAAGCCTCAGCAACTCAGGAGGCCCTGAGCACACAGCCACTGGTGTTTCGGGGCTGAGGAGGGAGTGTGAAACTTGAATGAACATTTTTGGGCAAGTTTGGTGGTGCACTCCTACAATCCCAGCTACCTAGGGGGCTGAGGCAGGAGGATCTTGGGCCCAACATGAGCAACTTTGCCAGCCTGTCTCAAAATTTAAAAAATAAATACAAAGGCTGGAAATCTCCGAGGCAGAGGGGTCACCGGCCTGTGCAAGGCCCCGGGTTCGATTCCCAGCTCAGAAGGAAAGGAAAGCCACGAAGTTTCTAAAAACGGCAGCCAGCAGAGGACAGCATCGAGCCATGGGCAAAGGCTGGGCCCCAGGCGGGGTATTTGGTGCCATCAAGGTGGCCTCAGACAGCCTTCTGAATAACAGGTGGAGTCAGGCTGTGCTGCCAGAGAGGCACAGACCACAGGAGTGTGGTGGGGCCTGCGGGGACCGTACTGCCATCGAGGAGAAAGCCCTGGTTTTGCTGGGGCAGAGGAGAATCTTGGTACTGATTTGGAACAATCATGGGCTTTTAAAAGATGAAAGCAGTTTGTCTGATTTTTTTTTTTGGTACCAGGGATCGAACTCAGGACCTTGCGTTTATGAGGCAGGTGGCAGAACCACTGAGCTAAATCCCCAGTCCCTTATGTATCTGATTTTTGAGACATGGTCTGGCCAAGTTGCCCAGGCTGGGCTCAAACTTGGGATCTTTCTGCCTCAGCCTCCCGGAGTGTTGGGAACTCAGGTGTGCACCACCATGCCATGCTCCCACCCAGATCCAGGCCCATCCTCGCTGAAGGAGGTCAGGGGTGTCTGAGAATGTTCCAGAGAGTGGGGGCTGGCAGAGCCCTTAAAGCCACAAGGTCAGGGTCTGGAGGCTTTCAGACTCCCTCTAAGCCTCGCAGGGTGACACGCAGCTGTCACCCCAGCTCCTCTGGAGGCTGAGGACAGGGTCTCAGAAGTTCGAGGCCACCCTGTTTTCTGTCACAGCAGTGGGAGTGGAACCCAGGGCTTCCTGCATGCTAGGCAAGCTGTCTGCCACCGAGCCACGTCTCAGCCTTAGAGAACCCCTTCTCTTTAAAAGAAAAAAGGGGGCCAAGCGTGGTAGCACATTCTTATAATCCCACGATTCAGAAGGCTGAGGCAGGAGGAGCCCTGAAAGTTTGAGGCCAACCTGGGCTACAAAGCGATACCCCTGTCTCAGAAACCAAACCAACCAAAATTAAATAAAGAGCCAAACCTAGCCAGGCGTGGTGGTGCATGCCTGTAATCCCAGCACTCACACTCAGGAGGCTGAGGCAGGAGGATCACTGTGAGTTTGAGACCAGCCTGGGCTACATAGTGAGTTCCAGGTCAGTCTCAACTACATAGTGAGACCCCGTCTCAAAAAAAAAAAAAAAAAAAAAAAAAGAGCCAAACCCAGTGGTGCACACCTGTAACCCCAGCACTCAGGAGGCTGAGGCAGGCGGATCGCAGACAGTTCGAGGACAGCCTGGACTACATAGTGAGTTCAAGGCCAGCTCGAACTACATAGCAAGATCCTGTCTCAAAAAACACCCAAATTTCGGCCGTGGATTTAGCACAGTGGCATCCCACTTGCCTTGCAAATGCAAGGTCATGAGTTTGATCTTCGGTACCAAAACAAACTTTAAAAATTAAAAAAATACAACAATGTGAAACTGTCCCCAGACCCAGTGCAGCGCGCTTGAGAGCCTGGGATACTGAGGACTCACGAAGACAGGCAGGACAGCGATACGGGGCGGCAGGCAGGGACGGGCGCCGTGGGCAAGGCGGGTCGTGGGCGCCATCTGCTGGGCGCCACGGTGAACACCAGGCCGGGAGGGGGAAGCCCCTGCCGCAGCACCTGCGTGGGTTCGTGGACCCATCACAGTGGGTCTGGGCCCAGCTACTGCTGGCCGCTCTCTCCCGGATGCTAACAGCACTGGCGTAGGGTGGCAACCAAACGTGCCTCCAACCCCAGCACCATTCCAAAGACACGAAGCATGGGAGCGGGGTCCCCACACCCCAGGGCCTTTGCACGGTCGGAGCCCGCCCACGGCTCACCTTGCGTTGCTCCTTCCTCATGACGTGTTTGTCCTCATCCTTCCAGTACGCATCCTCCAGCTCCTTCTGCTTCCGGGCATCGGCCGCAGCCTTGGCCTCAGCCTTGCGTGCCCGGGCTGCTGCAGACTTGGTGTTCTCGCCCTGGAACTTCTTGGGCATCCTCGGCAGCTGCAGGCGGAAGGGCTGTGAGCAGGTCGGGCCCGGGGCCTGCGGGGGGCACGGTTACATTCCCGGGGTACAAGGCGAACTTCAGTGTCTCCTACGTAGCTCGGTGATCCTCCTGCCTCAGCCTCCTGAGCGCTGGGATGACAGGTGCGGGCCAGCACGCGCAGCTCTCCGTGCACCCTGAGATGCGGGGGCGATTGCAGCGCCCCAGGTGGGATGCGGACACAGGAGCCCGACCTGCTCCTCCCCGGAGCTCACTGCAACCAGCAGGTTCACACCGCAGGCTTTGGCACTTGTTCTGCAACCTGTCCCTGTGGGCTTTGGCTTTTTTCCTAGTAAACTTCAGGGCCCTGCGCAAGTGTCACCACCTCCGGGAAGCCCTTCCCGAGACCCTGGAGATTCCTGACTCACACCACAAACCTCTTCGAGTTACTGTGGGTTCCTGTGTTTCTTTCACTCATGAGTATTTGACGAAGTTCCGTCTTCCCCATCGGGCTGGGAGTGAGAAGGTGCCGTCTACACGGCAGGGAGAGAACTCTCACCGCGAACTCAACTAGCAGCCATCTTGCTCTTGGAGTTTTACAACTGTGGCAAAATCTATTTCTGTTGTGTAAAACACCCAGTTGGTTTTTTTTCTGTACTGAGGATTGAATCCAGGGTCTTTACATGAGCTACATCACCAGCCCTTTTTATTCTACTTAGAGACAGAGTCTAAATTCCCCAGGCTGGCCTCAAACTTGGCGATCCTCCTGCCTCAGCCTGCCCAGGAGTTGGGATCACAGTGTTCAGCCCCACGCCAGGATCCCAGTCTGATACTCCGTCATGGCAGCCTCAGCCGTATGCAGACACCCTTTATATTCTGCTTGGTGGCAGTCACACCCACACCCACACCCACACCCCAGGGGAAAGAGGCCGGCCCGACTGGCAGGAGTTACCAGGCGCCATCGGAGCTGTGATGAGGCCACGCGGGGCGGAGCCCATGAGGGGGCTCCCGGGAGGACTCGTGAAAGAAGAGGCCTCAGGAAGGGAGGCGAAAAACAAAACAAAACAAAAAAGGTGAGGCGAGGGCTGAGGATTTAGCTCAGTGGCTCTGCTTCCTGCTTCACAAGAGCAAGGACCCAAGTTCGATCCCCGGCGCCACAAAATAAAAATAATAATTAAAAAAAAAAAGAGAAGTGAGGCGATCCGGCCGGGCTTGCTGGCACACGCGTCACACACATCAGGACTCCCGGAGGCTGAGGCAAGAGGACCGCAAGAGGGAGGCCAGCTCAGGCAACTTAGCGAGACCCTGTCCGAAAACAGGTCTGGGCTGCAGCTCGGTGCCAAGGCCCCGAGTTCAATCCCCAGCGCCGCCGGTGGGACGGAGGAGCAGAGCCCGCGGCGGGGCGCAGGAGGCTGGCGGGGAAGGGGTGGGAGGTGG